ATTTAATCACTTCCATAATGCGTATTATTTGGAACTTGATTACGCAACAATATCGATTTCGGTGATTAATTAAAAATACTTTTAACTGTGGAAAAGTTATTTTTCTTGTGTTTCTCACAATTTGTCGACTGCTTCATTTTTCAGGAGAGTTTTGACAACTTTTCGCCATAATTTCACTATATTGGTAATTGACTTTTCAAAGTGACAGTGCTCAATGTCGATATTTTTTAAGCTGGCAATCACGAAATCTGACAGACTTTTAATTTTTGATTTGACAAAAGCGACGAGAAATCGCTGCATTTGCAAGATAGTCGAATAGAAAGTTTCCCAATCAGGCTCTTACCCAATGAAATTGTCTTCGACTGACCCAAAGTTTATTGTGGGCTCGAAATGGGGTGAGAATAGCCGAAACTATACATCGCATACAAAGTTTTCTAATTCAATAAATTTCTAGAATTTGTAGAGAATGACTCGAATATCAATTGTTGGAGTTTTGAATGTTGCATGATGAAAATTCGAGCTCTGCATTTGGCCGGAAAGTCTAGTGAAACTCACATGAATTTATAATGGAATTCATTTCGTGATAAATTGACAACGACAATTTGAGGCGTGTGTGCTTAAAATATTCTTTTCATTACTTATTCAATTTTACCTGGAACATAATTGCTATTGATATCTCTGGGTGTGCATTTGACGACCACAATGGAGAAGAGTTTAGAGAATTTGATTGTGTTAAGTAAAGTTAGAAAATTTATAAATTTTCGCAACATTGTGCTCACTAATGAAGTTTTATCTAGAAATTAGTGCTAGTTTCAGGACGTAAATAAGTGCTATATATTGTGAAGTTAAATTGAATAATGAATAATATGGAGAATAGAGCAATAGAAGGAGATTCTCATCAAGGAATTTAATTAGAAATACGACGCTAAACTCATTAGATTTTTTCTTCCCAGTGCCGAATAGATATTTAATTAGCGACTAGCATTTTTTTCCCCACCATCAGTATTCCATTAAATTCGCTGTTTTCTGCGGCCACAGAGGTATTCATGCCTCGCGAGGGAAAATTAATATTGATGGATGGCGAGAGAATCAATGAATTTGTCTATGCCGCAAAAATGGCCAAATTGTCCCCCCTTTCACGCGTCAGGGCCTCAAATTAATTTCCCTTCCAGACGAGAGATGATTCATCATGAAAAAATATTCCCATCATTTCATTAATGACACATACCAGAGTGATGAAATTGCAAATGCCAGGAATTGCTGCAGTCCTCGCATTTCTCGTGCTGTCGCCCCCAAAAGAGTGGGTTTGAGAACATTGGGAGATGCATAATAATGGTTGAGTTGCCAGATGTGTATTCTTTGTCATGCATTAGGATTCAATAAATGGAGCATTTTCCATTGAGTGTTCCGCAACAATTGAGATAATTCGCAATCTTGGTGTGTTGTTGGACAATTTGAGTAATGCAGAGACACACATAGAAGCGTGGTGAATGGCTAACATGTGCAAATACCACAAACTAGTGCGGATGGATTTAATATATTTTGCGGATAATGCCGCTTTCCAAAGGGAATGTTGTCGCCTTTGCCAATAGGCGGAGTGGGAAAGCTCACAAATGCCTATAAATCTAACAATCAACACATTATACCATCATCATCCACACCAACAACTAGCAATGCATTCCTTCTTGTGTATGACATGTATCAGTAAATTGATACGAGGACAGAATAGTTGGGAAATGTCACAAACAAATTGCTTTGGAACACTTCCAAAATATTCCACACGCGAATCAATACTGGGTTGACCAAGTTTCTTCTGATCTTTAATATCGTCGAACCATAGTTTAAATAGACTTTTCATGATAAAATGTACCTACATAAATATGATTGGGGGAAATCAACTGCACGGAAAGATATTTATAGTAGAAAATTGTGGGAAATATCAACAAAATTACTCAAAAACAGTTCAATCAGAAACATGTTTCACAAATTAGAGGTGAATATTCGCATATTGGGAGAAAACACTTAATTTACCTGTAAAATTTCCCCTTCTGTAGTTCCCATAATTGCTCATCTCTCCTCTATTGTAAAATATCGCACTGATAGCAATAATTTATTGGAAAAAATCATATCTAATTACAAAATATCCATCAAACGAAAGATTCGAATTGATATTTATGATATTTAATTAAGCGCTTTCATATATAGAATATGTAGATTTATAATTGTTGAAATTGTAAATTAGGCAAAATTAATTTGAATTAATTCAAATGAATGTGATCGGTTTTGGCAAAGCTCTCGCAATCACGATTAAAATGCGAGTGTGGATGATTTAATGTTGGGTGGATGTATTTTGAAATAAATTAATTAGTTGGTAAAGCATGTGATTGAGCAAAAAAGGCCAATCGATGGCGCTTTGAAAGCAATTTGGAAGCATGCTGAATTAATCACCCCGAAGTGGGTGAAGCAATTAAATTCCATTGCGTATTCACTGAGCGTCTGAGAACACTTTGCTTGCCGGGGGTGAATTTCTTTTATGCCCGCACCGAAAAGTGCTCCAAACTTTGCACGCGTCTCGCGAAGGCGGCGTTTTTTTCCGCCACCGCCGAAAGCTCTGGCAAAGCTCCACAGCCGGGAGATCTATGGTGTCGATAGCGAACGGGTAAACAGGGGGGTGGTTTATCACTTGGCATTCCCTTGTCTGCGAGTGTGTGAAAATGCTGAAAGTCGGCGATGAGGGCAGAATTGTAAAAATTGATGGCAAAGGTGTGGGAATTTTCCAGAGCGTTGCTCGATGGGGTGTTGCTATAGCGCAAGCATTCGAGCTTGTTATGGCCTCGGAATTTCTTTTCTGTAATTTGTAAAGTCAATGAGACGAAAGCTAACTTCACTCACATCCAGCACTGTCCTTCTTAGAAAGTCTGAGAAGAATTCCAGGAACACAGATTAACTTGTGTGTCCTTTATGCGCAAAATATTCCTGCCATGATTTGATGTTTGAGTTCAGGTGGAAAGTTGCGCAGTTTGTGATACACTTGTTTGGCGGGATTTTCACAAGTATTTCATTATATTGAAGATCACTTGCCAATTAGGTTGTTTTTCACTGAGAAATCATTGATTCACTTCATTAAAGTCTTCAATTTCTCTCTCATTGTTCTCAAACACCCTCCAGATTGATCAATCAAAGTCATACAAAACAGAGAGAAGTTTTAATAAGTCAGAGAAACCTTTGATGATGAAACAGGTAATTAGAGAAGAGCTTCTTCTATTAGGATGTTATTCCAGGAAATGTGCACAGAATTCATGGAATTGAAAGAAAATTCTCCAAAATCAAGTGAAATTCAATTCACATTTCAAACACAAAAGCCAGAATTTCGCCTCAAATGTGGTTAAAACTGTCTTAAGTTTCTGAGAAAGTCAATTTGTTTGGAAGAGGCAAGCTCACACGATTGTTTATGAACGACCTTTCCTCTTCTCGGTCGCCCATCAGGATTCAGGACATCTAATTCACTGCGCAGCCTTTCGATCTGAACATACTCGGGTGTCCTTGATCCCACGTGTAACTTGTGGCATCTGTATCAGCATCTCTAATCCTTAAAAATGACGCACTAGGCGTGATTTTGTATTCCGACCGCGCCGAGGATGAGTGCTTGCGGAAGGAATCAAAAGGGCATTAGGGGAGATGCGTCACCGAGACGCAATATGGCTTCGTGGACATTAATTCTTGGCAATATGCAGCAAGAGTGCCGGAATGTCCCAACGAGTATAGTTCTCATGTTTGATGGCAAACAAAGTGCTTCCCTGGGTGGACATTCGTGGCCCGTTTTGGGGCCACACAGAGACAATTGCATTCTGTTGCAGTGTGGCACGAGTCTCCATAAATTGCCATGGAATAATAAATCCCACGAGGGGATTTATTTATGAAAATCTACACTTTATAGCCCACAACACTTTAGCCACCCCAAAAACTTCACCACCGACAAGACAAGAGAGAATCGGGGTGTGTTCGGAAAATTGTGTCACACCCAATTCCAAGCGCCCAGAAACTGTCCTGAATCTCAAATTTATTATTAATTGAATGGGAATAGTTTATGCGATCCCTTTTCATTATTAAAATTCATAGTGTGCGGCGCAGCCTCAAAATTTTCATACTTTCCATATATAAATTTCACGCTGTATTTCACAGCTATTTATTTATTAAGACACTTCTTGTCAGAGGAATTACTCAGCAATTGAGCACAGTGAAAGGGAATGTCTAAGTAGAGAAATTAGCACACTTTGTCGAGATCTTGACAGCCCGCACGTGGCATTTCTAACAACAAGGACGAGTTGACATCCTCGCGCACTTGCAGTCGGAATGCATGATTTTTGCGCGCTTAAAGTTTCATGAAATTTTCGAAGCTTCTTTCCCACTAATCTTCCCATTTGATGATTCATTGAGGTGCCGCTCGATTCTCCTTCCTGTTGACGGTGAGATGAATGCCCGGACCCTTCCATTCTTCATCGGAAAGTACAACGATCCCGGGGAAACCCGCAATGAATTATGCCGCGCCTCAGTGCATATGTTAGGGAATTTGCATTATTCACGTATATCATTTTCTGATCTGAATTCCCAGCCGATGCGAGGTTCATTTGCTTATAACGCACATCTTAGCATTTCAATACATCACACTTCTCTGGATCGTGTTTCTCACAGTGCTCCACCCCTTCGCGACATCTCCCTATTGAGATATTATTCCCGGAATACGCGTCAAGTGGATTCAAGGGTGAGTGAGAGTCTTGAGAGCCTTCCAGGTGTGGTGGGGACTTCCAGTGTGTCTGCGCCTGTCCGCTGGAAGGCGTTTGGTGGCGGGAACTGGAAAGTTGCGCATTTCGATCGCCTGGAAGATTGAGATTTGGCATCGGCAATCATGTGCCCCTCAGTGCAATTCCGCGTGTCTATCGGAACGTGTGTCATTTTGAATGCCATAAAACACGCGATTTCTAGTGCTCTCTCACTGTGACAGTGAGAAGACTTGCAAACATCTTCGCGTTTGATGCGCAAAAACACCCTGTTTCGCTCTAAAGTACGTGCTCTGGTTGGCAAAGCACCCCTGGCGAGATGCACGTCTTGCCTTTTTCCTCGCCTAATCCCAAATCCAAGCTTCTCAGCGTCTCTAAGCGATAAGCAAGTAAATTTGGACATTGGATATCACGAGTCAAACACATATGAGATTGCGAGGAATTGCGTGACATCTTTGCCAAATCTACTGACCACGGAAAACACCTTCTGGCGGTTCGCCTCCCAATAAGTTCGCCTGCACGGAAGGGTAATGAAAATTGTGGCTCAAGATAAATCGCCACAACGTGTCGAATCCATGCCTAGAGCACATGAATTGAATGAAAGTAGCGCAGCTTGTGAATTTTCATGCAAATGCAACACTTATTGAATTCTATTCTTGACATCAAAGCAAAGTTGAGCTCTTTCGGAAGAAGTTTAATACTTTGGCTAAACTCTAATTCGAAGTGAATTTATGCTTCTATCTTTATCCCCTCTGAGAACTCCTTTGATTCTCCAATCACGATCGCTTCTTGCGCACTTTATTGTTGCTCGTAAAGCTTCTTCTTCAAGCAACAAAAGAGGTGCTTTTTTTCAAACTGCCAATGTTCATAAATTTAGGTCACACATTGAATTGTGCAGAATTTCACTGTTCTCCGAGTGCGGTGATGTGACTTTACAGTATTGCAACATATCATCCTTGTTGTGGGCGCAGAGAAAGGACATTCCGACACGTCGCCAGCAGTGCGATACAATATTAATGAGAGCAGTGTGAGCGGTGCTGAGAAGTCGGAGAATCACGATTGTCCATTTGCAGATGGTGAGAGAAAGTGTGGGACAAATGTGAAAAATGATGTGTGAAGATGATCCCATTGGGCAGTGCGGCGATGCTTCCCTTGGGGCGAGCGCTGAAAAATCAACACTGGACTGAATCACGTGCCGAGTGGATAAGGAAAACTCACGCAATCAGCATGATCCGCAATTCCATTTAATTGCCGATGCCCGGTAGTCAGCAACGGTGCAGAGATTGAGATTCCACAGACTCATGCTCAATCCCAGCCATACGCTCAGGGCGACCAATTATGCTGCTGAGATATTAAATTCCACCAAAGTCTCTCTATCACGAGCGACGAAGGGGCGGCAGTGAAAAAAGGAAGATTATCTCAAGTATATTCTCAGAGTTCACGGAGCACAATATTACACGGCAGAATGAAAATACTGTACCGGTTTCGTGTCTACATAGGATTCTGTCTGCTAATCCTGCAGTCAAAAATCAAAGGTGAGTTCTAAAAGGGATTAAAATCCCTCCTGGCGAGGTGAAATTTCGCAAATTGCTGCCTTTTCATCAGCGTCCGCGTGCGGGCGGCAAAAACCCATCCGCGCCAAATCCCTGGGAATTTAATCAAAAATGAAACCCATCGTGTGCACAAGAGTGTTGAAGATAATTTATTATTTTCTACACATCTTCGAAACTTTTCACCATTCTCTCCAATTGTCCTGCGAATCGAATGCGGAGCGGCGAAATTGAATTTAGAGACACTGATGGCGAAGAGCCTTTCCGAAGCAAAAATTCAATAAGTCTATGAAATATGAGATGAAATTATTGTCCTTCTCAATTGTTTCAGCTAGAATAATATTCCATTTCACTGTTATTCGATTTCCTCAAGGTAGAAAATGGGTGAGCAAAAGCATAGGCAATGGCGAGTTCTATTGGATGTTCGGCAACAAAGCATTTAAAACTCTTTTTCTCTGGAAATTTAAGAGGTATTTTTTAAATATTGATAGGGAAAGATGTGAGATTCTACGAAAAATCCTCTATTTTAAAGAAATTTATTGGATTTTTTGACAATTTCCAATGATTTCCCAAAAAAAGAAGAACTTTAGTGAAATATCGTTGCAAAATATCAATCAATCAATCATTCTTTATCAACTGACCATGATAAAAGATAGCTCATAAGCCTCAATTTAAGTAACATTTACTATAATCTGTCAGGAAAATACACTGCAATGTCTGGTAAATGATATTTTCTTGAAGAACTTCAACAATTCCATCCGAATCTGCTGCTAATCTGAGTTCATTTGCGTCTTCCGAAGCGGGTGAAAGTGAGAAAGAATTTCCCTTACAGAAAGGGTTGGAATGGTGGAAGATGTTGCAGAACCCGCGGAGTCACTCGAAGGTCCGTTGACCCATTTTTTCCCGCCTTATATCGCTCGCGTATGGTGGAAGTTAGAGCACACCCTCAAATATTTGTACTTGTCAGTGACCTCCGAGTGCTCTACATAGGGAACAATTCAATTGGATTTGCTCGAATGTTGTCGCAAGGAATTGATGAATGTCTCTGCCATCCGCCTGAATTCGCTCCACTGTCAAATTCAATTTACTCTGACACTTTTCCTCAGCCGCGTGGCAAATGATTAAATTTGACATTGAGATATTTTATTGCATGGCATCGTCTTTTGGGCCCCGTAATTAATCTATGTCTACAAATTATCATCACAATTCCCAACAGCCAAGTGGCGCCAGCGCGACAATTTTCCAGTGAGAAATACTCCACCATTAAATCCAATGTCTGGGGGTGGGAAAACTCGACTCCTGCTCACCTCGCTCACCCGTGGCAGACAACAAATTTTCTTCTGCATGATCTTTCACATATGTAGTGGAATTTCATGCTGAGGATTCTCCCGCACAGCAGGTTACGGCACGTAGCAATTTTCTACCATTTTATTTGCACTCTACCCCAAGACTCGGTGGCATTACATTTAATGAGACCCGGAAAACCGTGAAAGCTGAAATGTTGGCTTGCGCCTTGAGCAACATGTATGAGAATTTATGGTAGATGCTGTGCAAATGTCGAAAAATTTCCACTGTGTGTGTTTGGCATTGGGAAAAGCTTAATTTTGCAAATCGCCCAAGAAGCGAATGGTGAAAGTTGAGTTGCAGCATTCCCCAGAATCCACCTTAGATATTACAATTGCTGGCACACCAAAGAAGATGCATATAACTGAAGGGAGTTTCGGGAGTAAAAGCATGCGAAGTTCGGGAAGTTTGGCAATCAATTTCCAAAGGAATTTAGTTATCTCTTGTGCGGCATTTCTCAAAGTGTATACACATTATCATTAGTGAAGGGACTCGTTCAGATTATATAGCAATGTGCACTTTTCAATGTAAATTTGCCCACATAAATAATGCTATTTTGCCCAGAATAGTTTGACTGTAAAATCCGTCGATGTTTGATTATCGCGGTGTTTTGCATTGTGCAACTCTTGAAGTGTGCTCGTTGCATAATCTAGTCACATATTCGGTCCTCGTTGCGATGAAATGAATATTTGATAATGTCGTACTTTGCTCGTTTAAAATTCAATATTCGTTTTTGGCCCCACCAAAGCACACCCCAAATGTTTGACTTCATCACGAACTCATCATGTAAAATTGAGACACACGCTCTTTGGCCAAAATGAACGCGCGCGCGTTTTACTCTCATTGCAGATGGAAAACTCTGGTTGGGAAAACTGTGTCGCGCGATAATTTATTTCAACAGGACTTCTCTGTGCACTTCTTTGTCATCCCACATATATTATGGGGGTACTTTTCACCCCGCGAGCGACACTTTATGCGCACTGAATTACATCCGCAGAATTTCGCGCTTGCAAGCGAGGTGAAAATTCGCAAAAGTATTAAATTCTGCTATGTGCATTTCATGCAAACACGCTGCAAATTTTACATATTGTATCACCCTTCGGAAAGAGTGCGCTTTAGCATGCGTTATTATTCGTGAATATTGAGTCAAATTCAATTTGCAAATAGTTGAATACTATTTGCAGATTTGTTCAGAGCCATGACAATTCACAAGAAAGGAGCTTTCAGGACTTTTATTCACTCTCTCCCGGACTTATAATAACTTAATTTGCACTTTTCTTTCTGTCTCTCTTGAGGAGATTTTGCGTGATAAATATTCAAAGGGATTCCATTACAAATTAAAAAACATTCGCTCAGAGTTATGCATAAAAGCTTTGATACACTTTTAACGCAATTTTTGTCTAGGGAATTGTAGAAAAGTTAAATTTTTATTATGTTGCGGCGAAAACCCGTGAAACTTTTCCCACCAAAGTGGACTACATCAAAGACAAGAGCGCCTTTTTCGCGAACAAGTTCATTTCGCTCCACTTACAAATTTGCTACATTGTGTGAGAGGATTAAAATACTTGAGCACACTCTGTATTTCATATCACAGTTCTACCATAAATTAATTTAATGTTGATTGATATTAAGTTAGAGTGAGTTTTGCTACTGTATTTGCCCTTTGTCAAGAGCAACTACAGCAAATTAGAAGTAAAACATTCCATCGTGATAACAAAGGTGCAAGTTTCACCAAAAGACAAACTCTCAGTGAGGACTTATTTGGTCAATATTTGAGATTATGATGAAAATTTCAAAACACACACCGAGACATCTCTCAGAGTGGCAAAGTTTATCACTTTTACAACAATCTATCGCTGAGATTTAATATCATGCTTCTCAAGATATCCTTCGTGAAACCTTTTGAATGCAGAATGTTGAAAAGAAATTAACTATCCCACATGCAAGAAGCACATAATTAAGAGACTGTGAACTATAGCTTCATTTAAGACATCCAAGTTGCGGAGGAAATTTCATTAAAGCAAGTCATAATTGTAAATTATATTGCATTCTCCGTGGATTTATGAAACCCCGTGTCTTCATGCCATAAATAAGGCTGAAATTACATGACGACAATTCACGCCCCAACTGCACTCAACCACCCTGGATTACATTCAATTGACTGTGGCGGAGGAAATCATTAGAAAAGTTAAATGACATATAAATCCATTTTAATGGAAATCATTGAATAATTCACATGGAAATTATGCCACTCGCTCGGGGACTCCTCGTCACTCTAAGGACAATTTTCCCATGGCTTAGAGTCAATAAACCCACAATGAGGAATCATTTCCTTCACTTTGTCAGCACAGCGGCGACGAATGTTTGTTTGCTGAGCAAATGAAATGGATCCAGGCGATGTTCTCTTTTCCACTGCATCGCTGAGACAATAATTATTGACTTTGTATGTAAATATTCGAAGAGAGATGCAAATAACTTTGTTCTATAGTTTGTATGTCTTTTGCAACATCAAGTCTTCTTAATCACCTTTATCCCTCTTTTCCTGTGTCTGTCTGTCTGATACTGTTTGGCCTGAATTTCGACTCTTTCTCTTTTGATGAGGTTGGCAAATAAAATTCCCCAGAGAATGTATGAATTTTAATAATGCCAGAGAACAATTGATCTTTTTTCGTCTGCAAATCGAATTTCCCGTCGTCCCATGAAGCGCTGTGTGCGGTCAGAATGCGAATGGGGCAATTGTGAGCTCTCCCTCATTTTTCTTCATCTCCAGTCACTTCCCACCCTCTTATCACTTTGAGGTGAGTGAGTGTGTACAAGTGGGCGCCACCGGGTGGGCGGACAGGGCAGGAGGCAAACAATGCCCTCTTCCCAGCGACCCTCGACCAGGTAATTGAATTGAATTTTCCAGTTTGCTATTTTCCAGAGCGCGCTCACGAACTCAACTCGGTATAATGTGGTTTAAATGGCAATTTCAATTGTTTGAGCGGTTGAATGTGGGGCGGATAGTGGCAGATGGATGATGGTCTCCACTCGAGGGTTCGGATGGGGAGGCAATTCTGAAGAATTCCAGACACACAGAGAACATTAATCTGCTTTCCTTTCGTCATGCTCACCATCCGATTATTCTGTCCTCGACACTGCACACCCTCTGGGCTCGCATGCGAGAAAATCAATTTGTACCGCGTCGATCTCTTAACGGTTTCGCCACCCCCAAAATCCAGAAAAGAAGTCACGCGAAATCCCATTACAGCCTCGCGCCCGCCCAAAAACTCCACTAGCGGAATCACCCTCGATGTTCGCTGACTTTTATTGCATTTGAAAAATCATTAGACACCCCAAACGCGGGCGCGACAGTAATTGCCGATGGGGTGGGAATTCAATAGGAATCACCCGACACTCTTCCGCCTCTTCGTCGGGGGTGGTGAGCGCGAAGTGGCAACGGGGAAAAATGCCTTCTGATAAAATAGGGAAATGAGCCGGAATTAATATCTATTTAAGATTCCTGCGGCAATAATTGTGGAGTGCCACAAATGCCTCATCTTCACCCCATTCTTCACGCCTCGATCATCCTCTGCTTGCCCAAGCATTGTTGGCTTCTTTAAGCAAATACAATGCAGTCAGTATGCAAATAATGCGGGTGT